TGTTATACTAAAACTGAAAACAAAGCTAAACAGGAATATTAAAAATGAATAACAACGACAAACAACAAAATGACTAAAATTAAACTGAAAATATAAAAATAAAAGCTAATTCTAAATATTTATAAAAACTATAATAGTGTATAAATAATAAAAAAATAACACTGATGTTCAATGCCTGTCGCTTTGACAAAATAAAAATTGAAATTGAAAATATAAAATAAACCCTCATTTAAAATACTAATAAATACTATAATAGTGTAGAAATAATAAAATAGTAACATTACTGTTCAGTGCTTGTCGCTTTGACAAAAATTAAGACTGAAAATATAAAAATAAATCTTAATTTAAAATAATAAATACTGTAATAATTTATAAATAATAATAAAATAACACTGATGTTCAATGTTTGTCTCTTTGACAAAATAAAATGAAAAGAGAAAATATAAAAATAAAAGCAAATTTAAAATATTCATAAATACTATAATAGTTTATAAATAACAAAATAACATTGATGTTCAGTGCATGTCGCTGTTTGACAAAATAAAATTAAAACAGAAAATCTTAAAAGCTAATTTAAATATTCATAAATACTACACTAGTGTATAAATGATACTAAAATAACACTAGTTTTAACGCATGCCACTCTATGACAGTATTTGTTATTTTGAAGTAAATGAGCTTTATTCTGATCACACAGACCTCCGTTTTTTTATTGTTTTACAAACTGAAATGATTTTCTCTCATAATCTGCATTATGCTAACATAACGTTCCTTCAGGCATGAGACTGGAATCTAAAAGGGGTGGTTGACTGGCATTTTTCTAGGCTTGATTGTGTTTATGGGGTGCAGTCTAACATGTGTTAATGCTTAGTTTGTTAAAAAACGCATTATTTTTCACATTATTTACCTTTATTCCACACCGCTCTGTCCCTTCTCCTCTGAACGCGCTGATCGTTAGAAGACAGAATCGTGATTCATATATGAATAGATTTTTACGTACACCTCTAGTTTTCTCTTCCTCTCCTCTAAAGCAGCACAGCATGGCCTCGCCCCCTTTGCTGCGTGTTCCCGGTTTATGTAAAATTCTGGGTTCTTGTCATAACGGACCCGGGAAGTAACTCGTTGTAGTCCCTTACTTTGCAGATATTGTTTATGCTCAAACAGCAACATTACACACTAACTAATGTTAAAAAAGTGGAATTGCAATCAACCACCCCTTTAATGAGGCTGCACAGAATCCCTTGCACTCTGCACCCGGTTAACCCAGCTGAATTACAGCATCATGTGACCCTGAGATTTAAGGCTCTTTTTTAACAACCCTGGATCTTTTCGCTCAACTTCAGCAAAGATCTCTCTCTCTCTCTCTCTCTCTCTCTCTCTCTCTCTCTCTGTGCGT